TTTTGAAAAAATTGGGTAATTTTTTATTATTATTTATATTTTATTTATTTTTATATTTATGTCTATGTGAAATTTTTATTTCTTCAAGAAAAAGTTGACCAAAGTTGATCTAATTCTATTTCCTTTTTTTTTTTAGTTGCTAACGGAATGAGCGATAAAGCATTTGATCTCAGTGAAGCTTATGAAGATTATAAATCTTTAGTTAGTTTAATAATGGAATCAAACTTAGATGTTGATAAATATATTGAGATTTATATGTTAAAATATAAAGAAAAATTTGCTTATATGCTATATGAATGGTATTTTGAAAAAGGTAAGGGACCAGATATATTACGTTTAATTTATATATTAGATTATTATCTTTATTTTATATTATTATTATCTATTAAGAACGATACGCGGATTTATTGAGTCAACAACACGCAATCAAACACAAAGAATGGCTCCAAAAATTTTTAAATGAACGAAATTTAAATGGAATTTCTTGGATTCATGATATAAATATGCGACAATATTCTGATGCTTCAATCAAAACTCGACATCTGGCTCAAAAAGTGAAACGAATAGAAGATATAAAAGTATTAATTTCTTAATTTTTCGATTGTTTATCTAATGTTTATGATTGTATTTGTTATAATCTTTTTTTTTATTTTTATTTTTATTTTTAGACATTCCTCAGCATAAGTAAATTGACTTATTTAGCGGAATTAAAAGATGATTCGGAACTTAAAAGTGATCAAGTACAAGAAACTCTTGACGGTAATTGGTTCTTTTTTTTTTTTGTTCTATAGAATAATTAAATTGATTCACAACGAAATATAATTATGAATAACTATTGATTTGATTTGAAATATAATAAATATAATGTAATTAGAAATTGAAAAATGTGGTGAACTCGTTACTGCATATAAAGAAATTCAAGATCAATTTATTAAAGCCGCTACTTCTTCGAATCAAAAATTTTATGATGAATATGATCAAGTGAATTATATTGCAAAAAAAGTTATTAAAGAAACTCAAGAATCAAGACCCTCACTGGCAAAGGTGATGAAAGTTATTAATAAATTTTTTGATAAATTTAATTAAATTTATATTTAACTTTTTTAATCTTATCTGATTTCCTTATTATCTTACAGTTGTTTATACAATGTATTCCACGAATATTAAGGGGAGGAAAAGTTTCTACCGAAGAACTGGTTGAAGTAATTACTCTAAGAGACGTTAAACAAAAGGATGATTATCCCTTTGTGTTACTTTTGGTTTCTGACGATAAATTGGTAGATCATATTATTTAATTAAATAGTATTAATTATATTATTTATGATATTATTTAAGTATTTTGACCAAAATATTATTATTTGTCAATTATAGTTACCAGATTCTCGACGTCGAGAATTATTACAAACCATATGGCGAAGAATTTACATTACCGATAGGTGCATACAAGTTTTACTGACATTTTTTTTAGGATTTTCATATATTTTTTTTTAAATTCATCTTATGAATGTTTTCTTTGAATATTTTAGATGGGATTGGATATCAGATACTAATGATATGTCTGACGAAGAAATAAACGAAAGAATTACTAATACTGCAGTTTTTCGTACTTTGTTCATTGTTACTCGGAGATATGGTCAGTTTTTTATTTATTTATTTATATTTATTTAAAATATTTGAATTATTGATGATCCGAATTCAATTTTCATTATTACCTACTACCGTTATATATATATATATATATATATGTATGTATGTATGTATGTATATGTGTGTGTGTATATTTTTAGAAAAACCATTAAGTCAATGGTTTAATCCTCCCGCTAGTTCGTTCTTTGCAAGTACAGTAGAACAACTTCAAAGTAGATTTCCAACATTTAAAGAAGAACAGATAAAAGAATTGATTGAAGATTACAAGAAAGAAAATACAGCACTTCAACATTCTATTCAGGAACTTCAATTGAATACTCACGTAGAACATGCTCTCAGATTATTAAATTTGAAATCATCATTAGGAGATGAAGATCAATTAGATCCAATGGAAGTTGAAGAAGATACTTGATTGAAGATTATTATTATTTTATACACTTTAACCAGTTTATTATTTTATTATTTCGTTACGAAAGTTTGAATAAAATTCCAAATTTTTTAATTATTTTCAAATCTCCCTATTTTAATATTATTAATGTTATATATGAAAAAGAAAAATTATTTTGTTAAAGATGATCAATTATGTTATATATGAAAAAGAAAAAAAATTATTTTGTTAAAGATGATCAATTTAATTTTAGATATAAATTTCTATAATAATGCTTTATAGAATGTTTGAATGAATGCTTGAATAGTACAGAGAACATGTCAAGAAAGAAAGCTCATCATTATTTATAACAAGGCTATGAACATCACGATAAAACAAGATTGTATAAATTTTACTATTAATATTGTAATCTTGATATTTCTGAGGAGATTCTCTATCAATTTCTTTCAATCTTCAATAATTCCATCAAATGATTTGCAAAACGTGATTGAATCATCGACAGCAGATCAAAAAGACATTGTTATATTTTATTGTTATGGGAGTTCTTTTTATTATTTTCAATATAACAAATATATTTTGTATTTTACTGTTTTTTATTTTTTTTATTCTTGAATTAATCACTGAAGGATCATTTGAAATATTAATCACTACTACATGTTTCAGTTTGTTTTTTCTTTTCGTTTTAACTAAAAAAATGAAAGAAAATTAAAAGTTTTTTAATCAGTTTATTAAATGTTTTTTTTTTGAAGGCTTACAATAAATAATTCATCATCATTACAACATTATCTAATTTTGTAATTTTAATATCATACACTTTTTAATCATCCTATTCAATCAACATTAGCCCCTTTTAAAAAAAGCAAAGATTTATTACTTTTTTTCAAAGTTCTTGAGAAAAAAAAAATACTTTTTACTTCGCTTTTGATTAAAAGAAAAGAAACGCACATCTCTGCAAAATCTTCCATAAAAGGCAGGATTATCTGATTTGACATAAAATTGATGTTAATCTTGTAATTTCGTTTATTTAAATTCTACTATTTCTAGCATTCCAACAAGTTATTACCAACTTCTAAATGTTTAAATCAAATTATTCACAACCAGGTTATTCTAAACTTAAACAAAATTCTTTCGAGGAAGACGATTATTTTTCGCTTGACGATACTTGGCAAAACCACGACAATAACGTTGATTTCATAATCCCTATACCACGTAAACAAAAACGTGCTTTATCTGAGTCCAGGGAGCCATATAATAAAATTCCTATACCAAAATCTAGTATGGAAATCACGCCATTTGAAATTACGAGGGACAGTGATGGTATAGAGTATGTTAATAATCAACAGTCGTTCAGCGCTTGGTCACAGCTTTCAAAAAAATTAAAATTTGGCAAGGGAAAAACTGAAAAAGATTTGGATATCTTTAAATCAGTTTTCAATTTGAGTTCACAAGAATTACAAGACTTACTACAAGACTTGCAAGATTGGCAGGTATATTCACGTACAATTCGTGGGAAAAATAATTAATTAAAAATGATTAATTTATTTATTTATTTTATTTTATTTATTTTTTTTTAAAAAAAATTGGTTTATTCAGTCTAATTCTCCTCTATTGACCACAAATCATGGGCCACCCATCACAAATGAAATATTTATTGGAATTTTGGATTCTGTCAAAGTTGCTATTGATTCCGGTGTTCAACCAACTCGTATTAGACAAGGTTCTTCGGGATCTTATTTTTGTCGTAATAAAGATGGAAAAATTGTTGGCGTTTTTAAACCAAAAAACGAAGAACCTTATGGAAGACTTAATCCCAAATGGACAAAATGGATTCATCGTAATTTATTTCCATGCTTTTTTGGTAGAAGTTGGTGAATACAATTATTTTATTTATTTCTCCCATTCCAAAATTTATTGATTTTATAATAATAATTTATAATTTATACTAATTTTATAATTTAACAAATAATAAAATTAATAATAATATATATATTCCAAAATTTTTATTGGTTTGTAACATATTTCTTTATTAGCCTGATTCCAAATCTTGGTTATATTTCTGAGGCTGCCGCATCTCTTCTAGATCGTAGATTAAATTTAAATATAGTTCCTGTCACTGAAGTTGTATGGCTATCTTCACCATCTTTCCATTATGATTATTTAGATCGTCGTGCTGCTCGATCAAAGAAAAATCCTAAACCTTTACCTGTAAAAATAGGCAGTTTTCAAGTATTTTTGGATGGTTACATTGATGCTAATGTTTTCTTGAGAGAACATCCATGGCCCGAGCGTCATGAAAATAATGAAAGTGCAGGCACTTCGACGGCCAACGAGAGATCACGCTTGAGCCCACTTATCTGTGGAAGATCAGGTACAATTGATGATGATGAAACAAATGGTTCACATCCATTATCCCGGTTTTGTTGGACTCCAGCATTACAACTTCAGTTCCGGGAACAATTTGAAAAGCTCGTTATTTTAGACTATTTGATGAGAAATACTGGTAATAAATTTATAAATTTATATATAATGAAAAATACTTGAATTGAGCAATTAGATAATCTACAAAATAACCCATTTTTTAAATTTTATTTAGATCGAGGATTGGACAATTGGATGATCAAATATTGTGAAACGGACGGAAACAGTAGTATTACTAATTCACCTCCCAAATCAAGCGTTATGAAGGCACCGGAAGTTTTATCCAAAGATAACTCATCAAAAAAAGATTCTAAAGATTCAAAATCTTCTAAATCTTCTAAACCAGTAATTTCAAATAGTTCCATCGAAACTCCATCAACATCATCTGCTCGCAATAATTCACAAGAAGCCTCTAAAACAAAGTCACCATTTACTCAATATCCACATATTCACATTGCAGCTATTGATAATGGGTTAGCATTTCCTTTTAAACATCCAGATCAATGGAGGTCATATCCGTATGGATGGGCATATTTATCCGATGCTCTTATAGGACAACCTTTCACTACTAATACTAGGAAACATTTTCTTAAATTGCTAACTGACGTTAAATGGTGGAAGGAAACTGTATATGAACTTGGTCGTTTTTTTTCTGTTGATTCTGATTTTGATGAGGGCATGTTTTCAAAACAGATTGCTGTGTTGAAAGGTCAAGGATGGAATATTGTTGAAACTCTTAAACATCCCAACCAGGGACCAAAAGATCTTATTTACCGAGAAAATGCTATGGTTTGGGATGTTTATCAATTTATCGTAATTCCTGATGAGCCCACGGACCGAAATCAGAATAACGATGGAATTGATATTTCTAATAGAAATTCAATAACTGATGATGATAGTAATCGTTTATCTGAAGATGGTCCGACTTTGTCTACCAGTGCTCCGGCTGCAACATCATTTCCAATTACTTCATCAAAAAACAAATATACGTGGAGTGATAGAATTAATCGTGTTAAGGAAAAATTTAATTTTGATCACGCTGGAAAAAGAAACAAGCAAAGAACCAAAAAAGTTCTTGTTGAAAAAGTGGAAATAGTTAAAGGTAGATCGCCATTCTTCACATGGTGTTAATAATTTAAAATTTTTTTTTATAATGATTTGTTTAAAACCAATTTTTCGTGGATTTTGAATTATCTCTGAGGTCACTTTCTTTTGTAAAAGTTAGTAATAGACAAACATATAATAATAGACCTGGAGAATCAAAATTTTGTAATTAATTAAAAACAGATTATTGGGGGGGTGTTATTACTGATATTTAATAAATTAATTATTCAATAAAATTATTGAAATTTAATATTTAGATTTTATATTTTTCTTATTTTATTTATTTTATTTATTATGAGAAATTAAAGAAATTTAAGAATACATTGCTTTATTTTATTTAATTAATAAAAAATTAAAGACATAAGTGACAAGATGAATCCCCAAGTGAAAAAAAATGCACTGTCAATACTGTTATAAACATGTTAATATTTAAAAAAAATAATAATTAGAAAAAAAAAAAAAAAACCTACCTCCAATAAATAAACATCATATAAATCTTAATTGGTTAGAAGTGAAATGGGGAGGTGTCCATTGAAGACAATATTCATCGATTTTACGATTTGCATGTTTAATTCTTGATTTATTGTAAGCTGAAATTACTCCTTCAGATAAACAAATAATTGTTTGACCTTTATAAGGTTTAAGTGCGTTTAAATAATTTAAGGTTGAAATAACATCATCTTGTTTAATACTTGTTCTATTGGAAATATCTTCAATGGTAACTTCTTCACTATTGTTTCTTGCCTCTAATAATATTTGTACTATTACCTCTGACCAATATGAACGATATGAAACCCATCCAAGATCAGATAATGGTTTCTCGGGTGATCCCACTTTTCCTTCTTTCTTAGAAAGTTCATAAGAAAATGCTATTAATAATCGTCCAAATCCTTTCCGTTGATGTTGAGGTAAAGTAAGAATACATGCTAAATTATATCCTTCAGTACTTTCTTTTTCCTTTGAAAAATATCCAATCAAATGACATCCATAATTATCACATTGACACATAATATAAAAAAGAAATGGGTCAACATCAAAACGAAGTGTTTTATGATCCAGAAAGAGTTTTGATAATAAGCAAAGGTTACGACAATATGTTTTTTGTTTGTTTCCATCAATCTCAAAGAATGATATGTCCCCACATCGATAAATTTCATTTCCAGGTGGATGTCTAATTTGACATTTCTTTACATGATTACGAAGTTGTCTTTCGTACATAAAATGAAATAAACAAAATTCACAAATGTATACTTCTCCCGTTTCACTATATTCGTGAGGATATGGCGAAAAATACCATGTTTCTACATCATAAGGTCCAAAATGAATTTTCTCTAGATTTTTTACTCTTGAAATTTCTGAAAGTATTTGAGTCATTGATCCTGAAGTACGTAATCTTTCAATCTCTTGTTCTTCGGTATAATTAGATGACAAAAGACCTAAAGGAGTAACACTACCGGGTGTTAAACTTCCATCGATAGATTCATAATCATCGTTCTGTGGTTCAAGTAAAGGCGTCGAAGGAGTTGATGCGTCCTCCAATGCTGCAATCTTTCTTTTTTGACTAGCAGTTGAAGGTGTTCTGCTTCCTTCCCGTAGAGGAGAACCAGAAAGAGATGGTGTTTCATCTCTTATACTTTTACCAATTTTCTTTTTTACTGATCTTTCCACATCTCTTGAAAGATCAAATCTATCTATCTTTACCCATTCATCTAAACGTTTATTAAATTCCAAAAAATGAACATAATATTCTGTTTGACCTTGATTATTGGTTCGAATGGATAAAATTTCCGCTTTTCGAAATTCTTGAGCTTTGTCTCCTGATTTACCCTTTTTTACTTCTACATACAACTTACAACCAATGGTAATATCGTAATTCTGAGTAGGAGTACTGGGGCGAGAAGGTGATTCAGTTCTTTGACTCATTTGAAAGTAGCAGTCTTTAAAAACATATAATTACTAATCGCGAATATCACGTGAAAATTAAGAATGTAATATTAATTAAATCTTCAGAACAAAAAATTGCTTCAATTAAAAAATTCAGTTCAAGAAAATGTTAAGATCACAACAATCTTGTTTATGGCAGTCAAATGACCAGAGACATTCCCAGAAATTTATCTACCCTCACATATGGTTAGGCATGGATAAGGATAAGTATGAACCAATAAAATTAACAAATTCAAGGGGTGGAAAATTTCTGGTGATACGGGGGTAGTCATTAAAATGACTTGGACATGTGATTTTAAGGTGCAAAGATAGATTTTTTCAAAAAAAAAATACATTTTAAAATATATTATTTTATTTAGAAGAAAATATGCTAACTAATATAATTTTACAGATAACTAAAACATACTATTATCAACCATTCATTCATTAAAACATTTTTTAGATCCTATTCAAAAAATTTCCTACCTTAATAAACCAACCTGATATATTGCCTGGCATTTTTAATTGTTACACAACATTTTTTATGAATTCTAATAATTTATCGAAAACAAGGGCAACAAATAATATACAAACCCCAAACCAAGGGAAAAAACCTGACGGAGGGAAGCCAAAGAATCGAGATGATGATGATGATGATAATACATTGTTTAGTAGTGCAAGGTTATAAGTATAAGGGGAATAACGGGGTTTTTATAAACTGACGGACCACGTGGCAAGAAATCAAAAACGATTGAATATATACAGCAACCCGGCATTTTATATCTTTTATGCGCTTACCGGATTTTATTTCCTTACCAGATAATCCTGCCTAATAAAAGAAGTGTATCTAAGATATTGAAGGCTGATATACATATTAATTTGTATAAAAGATCTTGACTAACAAAACCACCATTATCCCATCACACCAACCCTCCCTTTAAGATTTGTAGTACGAGATTGAGAAAATAGATCGAGAGCATGCACCTGACTAAGTTGTTCCTCACTAACTCTGTATTTTTCGAGTTCTGCTCTTTTTTCTTCCTGTGAAAGTAAAATATAAAATAAAGTATTAAAAATAAGGTATTAAAAAAAAATGATGTATAAAAATAAAAACAAATAAAATAAAGTGTAATGCTGACCATCGAAACATCGTTATCACTGTACACAAGAACTACTTTTGATGCAGATTTCTGTGCATTTTGTTGATTATTTGCACTTTCTTGTGGAGCATTATTGTCGGTTACGGTTGTTGATGGTGTAGAGATAGGAACATTTTGTTGATACTGTAAGATAGCAAAGTAATAAAATTGTAACGTAATTGTTTAATGATACATTATTATTTGATATATATGTTAAGTAATGTGAGTAATGAGAGTAAATAATTACCATATTATTTACCGGTCGATTAGGAAATATGGTCGATTGTAAATTATTAGGGGAAGGTATTGGTACACCGTAAGGTGCAGTTCCATATAGTGAAGTGCCGACAGGAGTTGTAGGACGCCATGGTTGTCCTGGTAGAGTTTGTCCTGGCAATAAACTAAAGTGTAATGTTTAAATGATTTAATCATCAAAATAAATAAATTAATTAAAATTAATTAAATTAAATAATTAAATTAAAATATAAAATTAAAATAAAATTTACTTTGGTCGAAAAGGTCCAGGTGGAAATGGCGCTGGAGGTACACCGGGTCGTTGATAAAATTGACTATACTGATGAGGCATCAATGAAGACATGGATTGTTGTGCAGTAGGGAAAGCAGGGAAAGGATAGGTCGAATTGCCCTGTGGATTGTTTTGCATCATAGCTTGATGTTGAGCAAGCTGCTTTTTGATTTCCTCACTCGAAAGTTCAGTCGATGTTTCTTCGGTCTTCATTTTTTTGGAAGGTTGATTATTCTCAAGTGATTGAGCGTGTGCCATTGCATCTTGCTGTGGAATTCCTTCCATACCAAAGATTTCAACATCCACCGATTCCCTACCTTTAATCGCATTGGGTACTCTATTAATTTTAAAAAAGAAAGAATTACTAATATTATATGGTTTGGTCTCAATAAAAACAAATTTCATAACCAACTACAGTATATTTATTAAACTAGCCTTGATTTTTTTATTTATTTAATTTTTATCAGCTTTGAAAAATTAAAAAGAAAAAATAAATAAAAAGAAAGAAGAAAGAAAAAGAAAGAGAGAAATGAAATAAAATGTAATTGATTTATTTATAATTATTATTCTTACGTGTCAATAGTTTCTTTATGTACTTGCGCAACATGAACCACCATTCCGCCAGCTGTGTTAAGTTTTTTATTACAATGTGGACATTTAAAGTGTTTAGCCTTTTGGTGTTGGATTAAAACTTTTTCATCCTCGAAATCTCGTTCACAGTACCTAAATGAAACTATTTGTTATAACATATAATCTATACCAACAAAATATAAATAAAGTACACTAAAATAAAATCTAGTTATTAAAAAACATACCAACACCACGGTCGAATTACTTTTTTATTCTTTTTCTTACCCATCTTGTCTTTGAGTTAATAATTACTAAATTTTTAAAATTTTATCGAATAATATATTATCATAATTCTTTTTTTTAAAAAAAAACTTACAAATGTCGCACACAATGTTACAATGTTACACTTATCATATCATGTGAAAGTTTTTGACAAAAGATATTTTTAATGATAATGATAATGAAAACACACCCTTTTTATTTTAATTGAATGTACAAAATATATATATAAATAAATGAAATAATGAAATGAAATGAATAAATGAAATATTTATATTGGGTATATAATAAAATATGTATTTAACAAATTTTGAAAATAAAATAAATATGTATTTAAAAATAGAACAAAAGAATCAAAATAATTTTTTTTAAGTAAATTCATAGTTTAAATAATAAAATAATAATAAAATAATAATAATAAATAATTTAATCAATTAATTGAATTAATTGAATAATTTATATTCGAATAATAATTATGAATATTCGAAATAAACTTTCAAACTTCATAATGTAACTTAATAAACATAATATAATGTAATTTAAAAAAGAATAGCGAAATTTAAGGATCGCATAATTCTTCTCTTTTTTTTTTTTTGTGCATATTTGTAAAGTTTTTTTCTAAATCATAAAAAAATGAAAAAAAAGGTAAATTCTTAAGATGATTTTTGTGTTTTTTTTTTTTTTTTGATTCTATTTTTCTATTTGTCATAAAAAGATGAAAATAAATAATTGAAAATAATATGAATTCTCGTGATTTACAATATATACTTTTTATGATAGTTGTGTACACGAGAATTTTAACAACATGCACGTGCTAAAAGTTGTGCGTGATCCATTGGTAAAGATAAAACCGATTTTCGACGTTGCATCGATGGAATTGGTGGAGGAATATATTCATCTAATTCACTATCAGATGATTCGGAGGATTCGAGGGATTCGGGAGGAGGAGGATAATTTGTGTTGTATTCTTCATACTCTTCCTCTTCTTCTTTTTCATCTTCATCTTCATTATCTAATTAATAAAAAAAAAATATTAAGATGTTTTGTAAAGATTTGAGAAAGACTTGAAAAAGACTTAAAAAAAAGATTTATATAGATTAATAATAACAATAATACATACCATCATGATATTTAGTCATCACCTCTGGTCTATTTCGTGGTTCAGGTAAATTTGGATATAATAAAAATCTACTCGTGTAGATGGCAAATGGATCTATTTCTGGAGTTGGTCCATTATTATTGTTGTTGTTGTTGGATTTAATTATTTTACTTGCTAATATTTTATCAAACACTTCTATTTGATTCATTTCAGATTTACTTATATCAATATCAAGTATTTTACAATGATATTCATATGGTGATAATAATATATCCATTATTTCTTCAGCATCAGGTCTTTTACTAGGATCAGCATCCCAACATCGAGACATTAAATGTTTATAAAATAATGGTATTCCGGATCGATTTGATTCTCTAAATCCATGACAAATTTCCAATGCTAATGAATGGTCATGTGGACGATCCGAAAATGGTGGAATTCCGGTTGATAATTCCCACATTATAAATCCTAAACTGTAAATATCTGCTTTCGTCGTAAAAGGGTTTCCTGCTAATAATTCAGGTGCCGTAAATGGTAAAGAGCCATAAATTCCTTTTGGTTCTGATGGATCACTTGGTCCACAAAGACCAAAATCTGCAATATTGCAGGTAAAAAATTTTAATACATTTCCGCAATGAAGATTCTTATGAAATGTACCATTTTTATGAATATTAATAAGTCCCATAGTAATATTGCAGAGAATTTCTATAATATCTTTCCAACTTAAATTATTAATATTTTTTTGTATATACTGCCGAAGATCTCCTTCCTCAGCATAATTCATAACCATCAAATATTCTAATGTTTTCGGATTACGAGTGACTCCATGACAATGAACAAGACTTCCGTATCCATCTAATTTTATACTTGCATGTCGTTTAAACTAGAATAATAAAATATATAGAATTTAAATAATAATATTTTTTTTTAATATATAATCAACAACAGAATAAATTTAAAATTATAAAGAATGAAATTATAATAAATTATAAAGAATGAAATATAGACAAACCTCATCTATAAATTCATCGCTAAGATTTTGGGAATTTTTTAATGCTTTTAATGCAACCACCAATGGTTTTTTTACAAATGTTTGTTTTACTCCATCCCAAACTTTATCTTGTTTATTTAACCAAGTAGCTGAAAATACTGTACTATATCCACCCTTCGCTACAAATTTTATGTCTGAAAAATTTTCATACGGAATCCATTGCACGTGTAATCGTGGATCACTATTAAGGAATATAATAATAATGTATTAATATGATGTAATAGATGTTATTTATAATTTATTTATTTATAATTTATTTATTTATAATTATTTATTTATAATTATTTATTTATAATTATTATTTATATAGAAATAATAAAATAATACATACGGAGTTTCCAATTGGGTTTGTTGAATAAATTGATCCAAATTGTCATTTCCACTAGTCCAATTTGAAAATTCGTTAATTAAACGTAATCTTTCTTCCCATTGCCAATCATCATCCGAATAGTCAATATCAAAATCAACACTTCCTTCATCGTCATCACTAGAATCAGAGAAAGATTGTTGACGTTCATTAAAATAATCTTCAACGTAATTTGTCATTATTTTAATTATTGACAATTATTAAAATTTGAAGATAATTCTAAAAAGATAATTCTAAAGATGATTTTTGTTAAATTATAATATAATTTTCGAGAATTTCGAGAATTTCGATAATTTCGATAATTCTAAGATAGATTTACGATAAAGTTATTGTTAAATTTGTGTTAAAATCTACGATTAATCTATAGTATTGAATTGTTGGAGAGAGAAAAACATTCTAGGTCCCTATATATATATAAAAGAGGGAAAAAAAGATAAAATGAATAAAAAAGGGATAACACCGAAAATAAACAATGAATCGTGGTACAAACATTAATGAATAATTTTGGTTATTCTGGATACCTGTCAAAGAATGCATGACTGTTTTCTCATATGATTCATTATGATAAATATTATAAATAGTATAAATTAGTTGGGAATTAAACAATGAGATTATATTTTTCAATTGTTAAAATATATAAAAATGTATAATAAGAAGTATAATCAAAATTCCAAAGAGTATTATACAATCCATTGTGGTAATTAACAAACATTGTTCTTTTTTCTGATTGAATAAATCTTTTTAACGGTAAAAAAGTTGATTATTATATCATTATTTATCATTATTTATTTATTTATTTATCATTATTTATTCATTATTTATTCATTATTTATTATTATCTGCTATTAAATTAGTAGTTGTTTTGATTTACACGTTTTATTCACATTTTTTTTATGCTGCAGTTTTTAATTTGCCCGTTTTTATTTTAGGTGCACAAGAAAATGCACAGAAACAATAATTCAAACAATGAAGTCAAGTGAAAAAAAAAACATGCCTAGAAATTATGTTTAAGATTAATTATAAAATTATCAATTTTAAATTTCCGTTAATAATAATGCAATAATAAATTAATAATGCAATGCAGTTACATACTCTTCGGAAATTAAAACTAGCTGTCTGAAAATGTTTTAATATTAGATGAAAATAATTTAAAGAAATTCGAATTTAGATTTATTGATTTTATATTCTCTCTTTTTTTTTATTCTTTTTTTTTTTTTTTAATTCTTTTTTTTTTTTATTCTTTCTTATCTTTATTATCTTTATTCCTTTTTTTTTTATTCTTTTTTTATTCTTATCTATACAACCTGATAATGTAATTATAGAGAGGCTAGACTGTATGTTGAATTTTTATACAGTGCAGAATACCTAGAAATTGAATTTTGTATTTTACAGTCAAATTTTTAAGATAATTTAAAAATACAATTTATGCATGTTTGAATTAGTCACGTGAAAATCATGTGAACACTAAATTTTTGTATTTTATTTAAAAAATTAAAATACACATTTGTTCTATCAATTTACTATATAAAAATAAGAATTTTACTTGATTCAATTTCAATTTTTTCAATTTTTTATCATATCTAATTTGATTTAATAATCTTAATAATACATATTCCTTAAATGATATTATCATAAGTTTCTTTTGTTTTAATAATTTTTATTATTTATTATTATTTTGTTATTTATTTTGTTAGTATAATTATTGAATATATTTTATTTATTAGTAATAATTAATATCTATTTATTAGCATAATACAAATTATATAAATCAATAATATAGATCATAGGAACCAATTTAGTGGTCACTAATTTAGTGGTCAACTAATTGATACAATTATTAGTTAAGATTTTGATCAACTTACTGATCAACTTACTGGTCAAATTAAATAATATAAAAAAAATAAGTTTTCTCTTTACTCCAAATTAGATTCAAATATACCTGCCACCCAAATTCAAAATCCAAATGCCAAAATCCCAAATGCCAAAATTCCAAATCCCAAATCCCAAATTA